CTTCGGTGTTTTGGTCATAACTGCAGCTAGATATATCGGATCAAGGTAAATTTTATGGCATTTCGAAGCTAAGACATAGACCTATATTTCCTACAGAAATATCGACACCCAGCTCTTGCATTTTCAGGGTCAAAAATTGAAATTTCAGAGAAAACAGAAAGCTGTCGGTTAAACAAGGCATTTGGGCAGTCAAGGGTATTTTAGTCATTTTATAAGCTACAGTGCTCCGATTGAGCTGAAAGTTTCTGGGTAGAAAGCTAACTCAAATCCCTACAACATTCATGTTTTGTCCAAAAGCTGATTCTGTGAGGACTCGCAAAAATTTACTTATTTTAAATTCCTATTACTAGCTTATTTAAATATTTAATTGCCCGTTTACTCCAAATATTTTATTTCAACCTTTTTAGACCCAATTACATGGAATTATGACTTGCATATATTTTTAAAATGATTTGTTTCCAAATTTAATTTTTGGAAGCTCGTTAAGTGAGAATAGTGATAGCGCGTTTGGAGACAATAACCGATTTGAGAGTACTATGAGCTTGAAAAATTGGAGACTTGTACATTAGTTTTAAAATAGGTATTTTTATGTTTAAGTGTTCAAGTGTTAGTTAGTTATTGTGACATCCCCACCTCCCCCTAAGGCGAACCAGAGGGTTCGGCGGACCGCCTGCCCAGCTCTCGCCGGGACTCAGTCGTTCACTACATTTCTCAATTAAAATTGGAATAAAACCACAAGAATAAATAAGACAATGATCCAAAACTTAAAGCGGAATTTACATACATTGCTATCCCAAAAGGGAGTATCAACATCGAATATACAAAGGTTCTCAATCCTTCATACATCCAGCCCGTGCCAAGCACTAGGGCGAGAACCATTACAAAACAAAAAAACTAGACTAGGCTAACCTACACTGGGCTCTCGTCCTTGCTCACATCCCCCTGTTAAGGAAAACAAAACTAAAGGGGTGAGCTAAAAGCTCAGTGAGGTTCCGAACACATATTCAACAACAAAGCCAATACATTAACCATCGATAATCAATAATTCAAGAAACATTTACAATGGAAAGCGATAATAACACATACATTAAAAGGATACGGGCTCACAGGGAGCCATTTGTTCGTTCGTTCGTTCGTGCATTCGTTCTCCTGTCATTCCCCTTATTCCTCTAATCATTTGAAAATGCATTTTTGTAAGTAAAACCCTCGTTCAATTGTTCATTTCATTCACCCCCTCCTGGACGTTGGCCAGGCTCCACCAACCTACAAGGTAATGCTCGAGTATACCAACGTTCACACCCAGGGTCACCATATCGCCTGACCGAGTCCGCTTCTGGCTCGAGTAGATCGGTAACGAAGGGTAGGGCCCAGTTCAGCCAAAAGGCTTACATCATGCACAACTAATGTATCAATCATTAAATCGTTGAAAATTTCACGTTTCATTTAGGTCGAGCGCGATAAAGTACACGCTCGCCTAGAAAATTTGTTTTGGAAATCATTGGAAACACTTAACACATTATCAAACAATAAAAACAAGTCATGAAGTCAAGGAGAATATAACAAACAAGGAACACTCACCTGTGTACGCAAAACAACGTGCAAAATATTCTTCCGGATATTATCCTTAGTCACCGAGAAAACCTAAGATTAAACGAGAAAGAATATTACAGCTCATCTAGCACAAACAATCAGGTGAAATCAAAGAAACTCAACAATTGATGAGTAGAACGTATAGAAAGACTTTAAAGTGAAATGAGGATATTTGGACCCGTGGACAAGAATAATTAGGGCTTCGTAGACCAAACGTAAAACCAAACTAAAGACAAGTCGGAATCCAACTAGATAGGCTAAGAAATACTGTTTTCGGAATCGTTTCGGAATCAGCTCATATTCAAGTAGATATTATACACTAAAGGTCTTAATGAAATTCATGAAAAAAAAGAGGTCAAAATACCCAAGAAAATCCTAAACCACTCCTCTTTATTTGGGTAAGAGTAAGTACACATTTGGAGTTTCCAATTGAAGAAGGATCATGTTTTAAGATGGAAAACGGTCATTGTATTAGTATTGGCCAAACAAAAAATATACAAGTTCAAATAGAAACTTAGCCCTCGAGCGAAAATTTGGGCAGCACGCCCTTTGTATTTACCTATTTCCCAGCCATTTATGGCTTCATTATTTTCCTCAATCAATCCCAACATTACACACAACATAAATAGCCACTCAATAGGCTCAATGTCATATGATTACCAAATCAAGCTAGGACATGTGCGGAAATGACGTTTAGGTTGGAAAACAAAAGGAAGATTTGTTGTTGCTTAGCGGAACTAACACAACTGAAGCGACACTAGTCGGATTGAGGTGCAATTTACACCATTTCGAAGCTAAGAGAAAGGGATACAATGTTGAAGAAGGCCACTCAGTCCAGTTTTCAATGTATCTAGGTCAAATTTACCAAAACAACCCCAGATTTTCCAGTTCGCAGTTCAACTAGTAGTCCTGATTCATTCAATTATATCTCAGCACATACAACTCCAATTCAAGAGATTCCAAAGCCATTTGGGCGGAGGATGAAAATATCCCTCCTGTCCCGAAAATATTCCAAAGCCATTTATTCCAAAGCCATTAGGGATATTTTCATCCTCCTGTCCCAAATTTGGGCGGGGAACGGGAAGAGTGAGGATGCCGGAAATGTCACCAGAGAGGCCGTCAAGAGGAGGCTCAGCTTCTGCAGCACGCGGACCCTGCGGGTATTGCGGAAAATTAAACCACTCGGAGGACAATTGCTGGAGGAAAGGAGGAAAATGCTTGCTCTGTGGGAGTGCCGAACATCAAATTGCTAACTGTCCAGCTCGCCTGCGCGAGCGGCAAGGGACTCTGCCACCAACCACGACCCACCATGACCAGTCGAAGGGGGACAAGGATGGATCAAAAGTGTCCTCGCGGGTGTACTCTTTAGAACAATATCAAGTTTTTGACCCATTAGAGGACGTGGAAGGTAAGAATTTACTGAACCTGGCCAGTGAAGGGGCACAGATCTGTTAGCAAAGTATAAAGCTCAATTTAATCCCGGAGTAGTCAATGATAAGGAATTTCGAGGACAAAATTCTTTTAAGGGGGAGAGAGTGTGAGAACCCGTAAAACCCTAGTTATTTTCCTAGGGTTTATTTCCCCTTAATTGCATGTTTTCTGCATTCTCGGGCTTAGAAATATTTTTCTGGTAGATTTTATGCGTAATTATAGTTTTTAGATAATTTTCCTAGTATTGGTGAGTTTTTAGAAAATTAAGAATATATAATGGACATGGGACCCACTAGTGCGAAAAGTTCGGCAAAATTCGGCCAATAAGGTTAAGTTTCGGATACTGTGTAAAAATTATCGGGTGTTAAGAGATAAGTAGAGTGTGTGAAATGATTGATGTGAGAGAGAAAAGAAAGGATAGGAATGCATTAATGGTAGTGCCAAGTGTCACCTTCTCATTGGTTGGACTTTAAGAAACACTATTCATATTCTTGACTTTTTTGACCAAAGAATTATATATCAAAAAAAAATTGCACAAAATTCACCATTTTCTCTCCTTGGTGGCCGGCTCTCTAAGCTCAAGAAGGAAGGAAATTTCTTCAACTTTCAAGCTTCCATAAGCTTCAATCTTCCATAAACAAAAGCTTAGACTAGATTTCACTCCATAAAATCCTATCTTCTAGTGCTAGTAAGGGTTGTAGTGAAGTTTGTTTGAAGAGCTAAGTGTCCAACACCTCTCTACATCTCTTGTTTCTTGGTAAGTTATGCTTGAACACCCTACTACACCTAATGATGGTTATATTATGCTTAGAAGTGGCTTGAGTGTTGGAATATATGATTTATTTCTTGGTTTGGCTTGATTTAGTGAAGTTTTCCATTTTATGATGAATTTTCTGGTTTCATATGATCTTGATGGTGTGGTTGTTTTTGATGGTTTGCAATAAGGGGCTTTGACTCTAGTGGGTGTGAATTGTTGTTAAATGCAATCAATTTTGGAATTTGAATGAAATGTGCAAAGTTAGGGTTCATGAACCCCTATTCTGTCCGAAATTTGAGGTCATAGATAGAGGCCGAATTGGACTTTGCTCAAAACATGAAAGTTGTAGGTATTGATGAGTTTAGTGTGCCTGCAAAATTTCAGGGGCAATTGGACTAGTGTAGAGTGAGTTATGCCGTTTTTACTGTTGCTGTTTTTGGTGCACAGAATGTCCGAACTGCGATAGTAATTACCTGTTTTGACTGGAATTGGTTTGGATTTTGAAGTTGGTGTCTTCTGAGGAAATGTAGCGGGATGTCTTAGCTAACTTATGCCTTTGGAAGTTCGGCATTTGGACCTGTGTAGGCTGAGATTGACGTATTACAGTTTTGTGTGTTTTGCAAACCTGTTTTGGTAATTCTGGTTTGGTATTTGGCACTTTTGACCTAGTTGTGCTAGGATTTGGAATGAGAGGCCTTCTACATTGTTGTAGCTCTGTTTCTTGGTTTCGAAATGGTGGGTCTTACACCCCCATCCGACATTTGTAGTGAGAGTTGTGCCATTACCGCATTATGAGGTCAAATCCGGTTTTCTTATCAAGGCTTAGGTTAAAGCCCTTTCTTAATTTCTGGTTTGCTTTCATGCTTGTATATGTTTATAAAACCCTATTGGGGTTGTGAATTGGTGTTGTTTATGGCTCGGTATGGTTTCTTGTTTTATGATATTGTGAGCCTATGGAACGGCTCTTGACATGAAATGCTTATATGTGTGTTGTTGGGTTGTGATGGAAGAAAAATAATGAAGCCTTATGGCTGGAAAATTTGGTAAACACAAAGGGCATGCTGCCCGAATTTTACTCGAGATTTAGAAAACTATATTCTCGACTTGAGTAAAGGTTAAGTATTTAACACTTGAATTTCCATGCATGAAACCCTTTTGGGCGATAATTGGTTTGACTTTATGACTCGTTATCGAGTCTTATAGTATTTGTTTACATGTTCTAGGGCGTGACGATAGCTCACGACGTCTTGGTGATCGTGGTGCATGAAATACCACTTTCTTGCTTGGTGAGTATACTACTCACTTACTTGTTATAATGTGGCTTTGTGCTATGTGTATTGATGCCTTGAAGGCTTAATTGGTTATTGGAAATGATTGAGGTGAGGGTGTACTTGACCGCCCTCACCCCTTGTGATTCCATGCATGGCTAGTGCTTGCATTACTGAATTACTGCACTTGATATATGAAATACTGAATTCCCTTCATGGAAACTGATTTGGTATCATTTGGGCGAATGTCCAATGGCTTTACTGTATCACTGAGCTCAACCCCGTTTGGTAGTCAATTGGATCGAGCCGGCGAGGGCTTGGTCGTGAAAATTGTCATGCCACGGGGACTGTACTGTGGAATCTTGTGGTAATGAGACCTTTGGTTCCGGTGTACTCGAGTATTACCAAAATGACTGAATGGAGTGCGGGCCCGGTTGGGGTATGATAGTTGGACGGTTGGATGTAATTGATGTCTACGGATGGTTACTTTTCATTGACGGAGGGTCAATGAGGTTGGATCAAGATTGCAAGCGTGGAAATGGGCTCTTGAGAGCCGACCGTATCCTTTTCCGTTTTGTTTTACTGCTTATTTGTGCACTTTAAATGAAAGTTCATCCTTATGTGACTTTGGTTGCTTATGTAGTAGTATACCACTGGGCTTTAGCTCATTCCGTGTTATTTGTTTTCCTTACAGGGATATAATTACTTTTGAGAATGGATTGGATAGTCACTTGCCAAGTTGAGCTTATAAATGTCTTTTGTATAGCTCTTGAAATGAAGCCTTAATGTGTAACGGGTTCATTTCCTTTTGGTAGGCAAACTGAATATGTATTTTCTTTATGAATGTCTGTGGCATGCCACTATGGTTGTAAATGTTGGATTTCAATGTGTATATGTTAAATTGATGTTTGGATTCTACTATCCAGGCCACTATTCAGTTTTCCATTTTTTTTAATTTTGCTATTTTGATACTTATGGCTTGTCCGAGCGCACTTTTGTTTTCCCGAAACGTATTCGAACGCGTGTAACTGTACCGTAGTCCTGGTGAGAGCTGGGCAGGCAGTCCGCTAACCCCTTTGGTTTGCCTTAGGGGAAAGTGGGGCTGTTACAGCACCTTTTTTTCTCAAACCACTTCACCAACTACCTCAAGACCACTTAGCAAAGGGATTTTATGGAGTGATTTGAAGTTTTATCGGTTTGATTTGAAGATTGGAGCAAGATTATGAAGTAGGAATTTGGAGGATTTTTTCTTTTCTTGAGCAAGAGGTTCGGCCAAAGGGGAGCAAAATGTGATGAATTTTTGGTCAAATTTTGATTAAATGGTAAAGTAGGAAAGTTAGTCAAAATCCAAGAATAAATGGCATGGTGACACTTGTCACCTTTTGGCCCTAAAGTTTATCCTTTTTCCCCCCAATGCTAATCCAACAATAATACAACTAAGTAACCTCTTATCACCTAGTAAATTAATCCCGGTATACAAAACATAACCTAATTGGTCGAATTTTTTTCGAACTTTCCGCACTAGCGGGTCCCACGTCCGATATACGCTCTTAATTTCTCAAAAACTAATCGATACTAGAAAAATCATCTAAAAACTATATTTACCATACAAATTACCTGGATGATTTTCCTAATAAAGAAAATGCAGAATAACATGCAATTAATTAACATAAAACCTAGAAAATATGAAAATGCACGGGTTCTCATAGTTATATTATCGTTATAAGAAATTCTTGGAGATTCCACTTTATCGCGCACAAATCGATACTACACGTTTTTGCGTGCGTGATTAATTGAGGGACTTTAGATCCTTATTTTTAGACCCTTAAGTGTGAATAATAATAGTATGAATGAAAGTGCATTAGAGGTTTAGTGCACTGGTGAAATAAACTCGAAAGGAATCGAGCACAAAAAACGCGCCCGCGCGCGCGGAGAGGGTTGACTTTTGTACAATTTGGAGCCACACATTAAAGCTTCTCAAGGAAGCTTCATTGCAGCCCAAACACTCTTCTTTCTCCCTCTCATTCCAGCAGCCAAAGGAGAAAGAAAAACAGCCCACATTCCTTCTTCATTTCACCTTCAAATTTTCACCAAATCACCTCAAATTTCACGTACAACTTGCTAAACACTTGGAGAACAACCTCAGCTAGGAAAAGAGCTTGCTTTCCATGGTTTTCTTTAGCTATCAAGGGCCGAAAATTTCTTCTTGAGTCACCAACAAAGGTAATCAACGATCAACCTGTGGCGGCCCCACTTCTCCCTAAGGCGAACCAGAGGGTTGGCGGGTCGCCTGCCTAGCTCTCGCCAGGACTCACGCAAGCAAACCGACTAATTTTCCACGCATAACCTAATCCAAAACACCATACGTCTCCCGAACAATCCAAACCTTTACAACCAGGATACTAAGAACACATTAACTTCAGAGATAACATTGCCATTGGACATCTGAACGTTCACTCTTAAGCACACCCCCAACCAGCTCAACACATAACTACAAAAATATATTATAAACCACACGGTGAATTCGTAAAGTTCAAATAAATTTATACAAGCCAAAACTTAGGGTTTGCATTTTTCCAGCTTCAAGTGGCAACCCAAAACAAAAGATACACAGACGATTCGAAACAACATTTACAAAAGCTCAAAGCAGACTTCAAATCTCTCAAATGCCACAACCTGTTAAGGAAAACAAATATCGTGTGATGAGCTAAAGCTCAGTGGTGCCCCAAAACATGCAATCATATAACACAAATAGTAAATCATAACTTCAAGCTTAAATTCAGCAAGTAGAAAAGCGTATAACAGCACAGGGTAGGATACAGGGCTCTCAGGATCCATTTTCCACAAGCTTGATGAAAATTAATCGTAGTTGACCCTCCGTCAACTCTCACTATCAAAGGTCCATGTAGATTCGTTATTTTTCCTTAACACGCTCCAACCAACTTACTCCCACCGGGCCCGTTTTTCTCACGAGAGAGTTTGGTATTACTCGAGTATACCTTTTTGTAAACTAGTCGAGGGATTCACCCAACGACGTCACAACACGTTTTTACCAAGTCAGGATAAGAGGCCCTCCCACCCTAAGGTGTGGTACACTCCCCTGCCTGGTAGATTAGTTGACAAGTCCACGCTCCAGTCAACAATTGCAAGATATTCGAGAAAACATTTCAAGCAAGTCACCACTGGAAAGGTTAGTGCGATAAAGTACACACTGCCATTTCGATGGTTCAGGAAAACCACTTTCCAATTATCACATAACAAGTCAAGAAAGCACTTTAACACTTTAGTCATAGAACAAGCACGGACACTCACCAAAAGTGAAGCTCAAAAGTCAAGCTGGGAATCGAAGTCCACGTCTTCGTTAAACCCTAGAAAACCAAGTTTTAAAACTATGAGTTTTACTATACAACCTCTTAGTTTATATATATAAAAGATTATTTGGTATATAACTAGTTCATTTCCTCAAAATAAATCAATACATCTCTTAGAATTAAGGCTAGCAAAGGAATAAAATATTTCGTATGGTTTCTTTAAAGGTGTTTCCCTTCTAGAGGGCCAAACTAGAACCAAATTTATTCAAACAAGTTTTCTTGCCGAACAAGTTTTCTAAGCCTTTCTTTTTTTAAAAAAAAATTATTAAAATCTCATGTTTGTAACAATTTTCCTAAAAAACAACTAGCCAGGGATAACTTTACAAAAACTTAAAGTTTGAAAGTTAATGCAATTATTTTCTAGAAGTAGTAAAACTAGTTTAAGCAAAGAAAAGAATTAACTAGTTAGCGAGGTTTTAACAGTTCCAACACTCGAGTTTGAGCATTAACGTACTATACTCAATTGCTAAAGCTCGATACTAGGACAAAATATTTCAATAAGACTTGATCAAAAATACTCGAATTCAAAGGACCAAAACGGACTTCACGACTCCAAATTACTCATACATTATATTCCAAGTCACCAATGTAGTAAAATCACAATCCAAACATCAATTTCACTAGGGCTTCATCAATCATTAGCCCTAAGTCTCAACAGAATCAATTCTAATCAAAATTAAACAAAGGAAGTCCAAGATATCAAACGATTCCAAACCACAATTCATGGCCTTCCAAGTACATTTCGGCCAAACCGTTTAAACAATTCCACCACGAATTAAACTCTTGCAAAAATTGCTCAAATGGCCAAGAGCTTCATCAATCATTAGCTCTTGACAACAAACAATCACTTCCAACCACAATTCATTCAGAATTTCAATCCAAAACAAAAAGAAAGCCACGGCCAACTTAACTCCCAAAATTCTAAAAGTTCAGATTTTTTTTTCTTTTTCCCTTGTTTTGGCAACCAAGAAAAATTCCAGTAATGACAATTCAAAACGTCCATTAAACCTCCATCTTTTACTTACTTGAAACACTAGAAACATAGCTCATAATCTGTCCAACCAAAACCAAAATAAATAACACACCATTCCAGAAAATAACCTCACCAAAACCTCAACTAACTCAGCTAACCACCATATAATTTCCAGCAATGTAACCAATTAACTTATAGAGCCTTGTCCATAATTTTCTCCAATTTTTTTTTTTCAACTTGACATGCAAAAGGTTATTAGCAAGCTACAAACTAATCTTAAATATCTAGTATAAGCATCTTGGCTAAAATTCAAAGGAAAACTAGTCAAGTGCTCAAGCCCCTTCTCTCGGCCATTTTTTTTTCCAGTTTTCACACACCAGTCAGCCAAACACACATTTTCCTCCAAAACATCGTTAATTTATCTTCAAATCTTTCATGCATGTTCAGATCAAGACAATATATGATATGGATTACAGTTTGACATAGAGCTTCAAAACCAAAATTCATAAAGATAGCTGGAAACTTCACCATTTCCTTCATACGGACAACCTGGAAAAAAATTCCAGCAAAATAACTCTAGGACTTCAGATTTTTTTTTTTCTTATCACAGTTCATCAGCTACATGCATGACCAAATAAACAGCTATCTATCAGTTTTAATCCAAAACCAAGGTCGGACAACATCAAAATCACTAACCAACCAGAAATTCATCCAAGTCGGCTCTCGGTTGGCTTGCATGCAAGCAGATTTTGTTTCCTTCAATTTTCTTGCTTAATCAAATCTAATTAACCTCATGCAAAGCTTAATCATCCAGATTTTAGTTAGCTAAACACATATTTAAACTCAGATTACCACAAATTAATCAAACAAAAGCTGAAATTTCCAGTTCACACTCTCGGACAGTTCCAATTTCTTCAAAATCAGATTTCCTAAGTCCTAATTCTTCATCCAACCGCACAACTCTCACATGCATGCTTATAATCAACATCATCTACCTCTAATCAACTAGTCTAGGTCCAGAAATTACCTCAACTGGAAGCTCAACTCACGCAACTAGCAGCTGAAATATTTCTCTTCTCTCGGCAGTCCAACATGCAGCCCGCTAGCTCTCCCTCTCCCTTGCTCAAGCTTGCGACTAGAATGGAGGAAGTTTGGCACTCAATCTCCTCACCAGCTCATGGATGGAAGGAATTCAGAACAGCAGGTCTCTTTTTTTTTATAGCTTGCGGACAGGAAGAAAGGAAAATGAAGGACTCGGCTCCCTCTCTCTCTCACTCCACTCTCGGCTCACGGCAGGAGGAAGGAATAGAATTGGAGTGTTGTTGTGGTGGAATGCAGTTGATATAATGGAGTATGATAGTGGGGTGTGAGCCGGCATTATGGTTGGAGGAATGGTGGAGTAGATAAAAGGAAATGGAACCGGCTAGAATGGAAATGCTAAGTGTAAAGAATGAGACCGGCATGCTGGAAATGTTTGTATTTGGAGCTTGTTCTAGGAGGTTCCATGGCTGCATGGTTAATTTGAAATGGAGGAGGGCTAATTTGGTCTTTTAACATCTTGTTCGACCATCCACTTAGATTCCTCATTCGTAACTTAACTCCAAGATTTTA